AACGAAGAACCGAGCGAATAAGGGACGTAGGCTCTTTACTTGTAACATTTTAATTAATCAAATCAACAATTTTTATTTTCATTTTCCTTAAATGTGATTTACCTAAGTCCCCCCATTCAATGTGTATTCAATCTAATATTTTTCGATATTTTTTAAAATATGATGTAATAAAAAATATTATATAAATATTATAATAAAATATTAAATATTATATATAATATTATAATATAATATTAAATATTATATAAAAATATTATATAAATATATTATTTTAATTATCGAAAAACATATCTTTTACGCGCGATTGTTGAAAATAATTTATAATCATATTTATAATCAAGAAAAGCGTAATACAATTCAAATTGATTAACTAAAATAAAAATAAAAAAAAATTATTATCAACCTTCTTTCGTAAAATCAGTACTTCCTATTAATGTATTATTTTAAAACATTAGATCTCTTTATTCTCAAGAATTTTTTTACGAAAGAGTCAGAATCCTTATTAGTCATATTGAAATTCTAACGCAGTCGGGAAATACAGAGCCAGCAGCGACGCGACATTAATTTCCATTAGCGAATATTCAATTTATCGCACGAGTAAGAGCAGCCAATCGGCGAGCGCGGCTGCAATAAACGTAATTATATTTAACGGGGCACATAAAGGCCTCGATAGATTAGGCCTCTCTTTAACCACGCTCCCCCTTTGCTCGTTTCTTCTTCTCTCTCTCTCTCTCTTCTGTTCTCTCGCCACGTTTTCAACTGCGATTCATTTGTGCAACGCGATACGTCTCGATCACCGGACGCGCGCTTGGTCTGGGACGCGTAATTAGAATATCAATTAATAATCCGGATTAATTAAATCCACGATTACCGATGCAAGCCATGACACGACGTGAGCTTTCATCATCCATGTACGTGTGTGCGCGCGCGCTTACATTATATCGAAGATGGAGGAAGGCAGATTAGCTCGCGCAACTGTATATACACGTCGTGTATATATGTCACTTTTTTGTCCTTGATGAGTCCAATGACATTCGTCGCGCGCCTTCATTACGTTGTTGTCATCGTTGCATTAATTATTTCTCGCTCGAAGCGTTGTCTGTGCGCAACCGGTCCGCGCGACTGATCTCCAAGTAATTTCCTTATGAGACCGGCTTATCGCGGATGCTACGGGCATAATTTGCGTAGATAGTCAACTATTTGTATCAGTTTCCATCGATAACTTTGAAAATAGTACGTATAAAGCGCGGAATATATTGCGACATCGATGAAAACGTTCCTGATGATTCACGATCAGCTGCATTCGTATGCATAATGCACTAGCGATACATCATAATTCTGACATTTGCTCTGCGTTAAGATTGGAAAATTCTACTTGTAGAAAATTTTATTTCCTGGATATAATATTCTTTTTGATAAATATAGAGTTGCAACTTAGTTTTAACGCGGAAGAATGCGCAAATAATTAATTTCCAGTCAAACCTTATATACGATTCTGATGCTTCATTTACTTATCACTTTTATTCAAGTGTCAAAGCTGCACGTGCGATGAATAAAAAAATGTAATTTATGTATAATGACGAAGTTATGTACATTTAGATCTCCCTCGAAAGTAAACAACTAAGTCTTTAGACATAAATTAAATATAATGAGAATGGCAATTTTTTTATTTTTGAAGATCATTAGCAAGTTTAAAGAGAAAATGATTCAAACATTTAAAATTCACCGAATACCGGAATATTAAAAACTTTCGCATAAAACAATAATTATATTAGGAATAATAATTAATGTCTCTATATACATTTTAATCGAGAATTAAAATCATATGCGACCAAAAATATCCTGGGACGAAATATTCACCAAGGATCTTTACAATGCAAATAAACAGAAAAATATCTGGCGATCTTAAAAAATATCTGGCAAGATATAACAAGAATATGAATATACACACATACATACATCAATTATATTTATTTGTGCTAACTAGATTCTCGTTCACCTGGCCGGTTAACGCAGAATAAAAGCCAAACACACACTTGTCAATATCAACCAGACATGTAATTGAAGCTCCCGGAATAACTCGCTAAATGACAGGTGAACACCTTATGTGAAGCCCGTACCCATGACAGTTGTACGTACAAAGTATGTAAGTTATTCGAGAATTCGCGTCGCTTTCGAAGAACGAAATATGAAAACGCGCTGTAAAATACAGAGAGAATATATACGTAAAATATAATCCTATTAATATGTCGAAAGATTATGATCGCAAAAAATAGCCAATTAACGGGAGAATACGACTAAAAATAAAATATATGAGAAGTCTCATTTCATTGTCGGTAGAAGAAGAGTATCTTCAATGTTACGATCCGGTTAGAAATAGAAGCAAAATAGGAGGTATTTCTCTCTTTCTCTCTTCTCTCTCTTAAAGGAAATATTTCAACGACAATGTCCGTCCATTGTGAATAAAGTCCTGCGAAATATGTGTGCTCGACTCTGTTCACAGAGTCCATCCATTAACGATGAATTAAGTTTCACGTGATTCTCGATAGAAGAGATAAAACGCGCGCCTCGTGCGAAAAATCCAGCTGACGCCGACATCGGATCATTTTCTCGTCGATCTCTGCTTATCCTTTCCTCCCCACCCCCTCTCGTTCCTCTTCGACGAGAGCGAATTCCCAATCGCGCGTTACCATCGTGCATTAAACTCCGCGGGGTAATATATCAGGGAATAAATCAACGAACGTGTTGGAAGCTTTTATAGGATTTTTACAACGTGCGCGTTCGTGAAATACTGGCGTCGATGGAGGGCGCGGAGAAGAAGAGAGAGAGAGAGAGAGAGATGGAGGTTATCGCGCGAAGGGGACGAGAGGGGCGGTTAAACTGAGTGTAAGTTCAGGTATCGAGGAGAAAGAAGGAGAGAGAAGAAGAGAAGGAGAGAGAGGGGGACGCGAGAGGGTTGCCCGATGGGGATGAAGCGTCTGGCTCATCCTGGGGGATGCAGCGCGCGGTAGGGGATGCCCGGGTTTCCGCGTGCGTGCGGATCCGCCAATCGAGCTTCAGGACCGCCCGCGATCGCCATGGCAACCCCGGGGGTCGACGGGAGGCGATTACGAAACGGGGGTAACTCGATTAAGCACGTGACGCCGCTCCCGGCGGCGACATCCGGGGACATGGGATGGCTTTCGCGGGCGGAGGGGGACAGAATAGGCCCGAAAGTACGGTCTGCTCGAAAGGGGTCGTTCTCTCTATTTGCCCTCTTAATCACCCGTTAAGTGCCGCGACCCCAATGTGGTTCCTCCGGGCACGCAGCAACGAGTTTGTCCCTGCTTTCCTGCATTCCCATTGGCCAGCGGTGAACAACAACCTTGAGATGGCTCCGAGGGGTAAAATACATTTAATTCTTAAAGGCGAAATATTCTACTTTGAGGTGCTATTTAAATCATTTAGAAGCAAAGCGTCGCGAGAACAATTAATAAAATTAATCTGCCAACAGTTTGGTCCGCTTTTTAAATTTGAGAGAGATAATAGCATTTAATTTTTTCATTAAAAGTCCTACAAAAAAGTTTTCTACTTGAGATTTTAATTTAGTTTAATCAGATCTTATTAAAATTAATATATCAGATATAATATATATTATAATATATCAGATTTTATTAAAGTTAATATATCAAATATTTTTTTAATATATTAGATATTATTAAAATTAATACATTAATATCAGGTTGAACGGAGAATTTATAAGTCTGATTTAAATTGACTTTTACCTTTACGTAAAAGAAATTATGTAATTTTTAATTTATGATTTTAAAACATTGTGATTCTTTTTTATTCTTTCAATATCAGAGATACTTATGCAAAAATATTATATGCCAACAACAAAATAAATTTCTAATAACGCAATAAATCTATACTTATTTTATTCCATTCGTGACATAATTTTCATTATAATGAATTCGAAACCGTGAAATCATTCATTTCGTTTCGACTCACTGCGACAGTCGATCGTGTCGAAAGATAATCCGGGTCTTGTCAAAACCGCACAACCATCCGAAACGTTAGACAAACATCCCCGTTTCGCCCTTACTCCCTTTATCGCGCGTGTGTGTCTTCTCGCATCACAATGCTGATTTTCCGCGTAGATAGTTTCAAAATGGGTCCGCCATTCAACCCTTTTCTCACGAGAGCGACGCGTATATCTAACAGTCAATTCGAGGACAATGCCCGATCGAGCTTACCGTGTCTCCTCCCCGTGAATTTCATCCCCGTTTTCTTCCACGCCAGCGACACGTACCATTGTAACCGGATACTCTCGTTTAGGGGTGGCTCCATGATACATGGGGGGTTGACCGAGCCAGGCTTATAACTAGTTGCCACTTAATTTGGCAAGCCTGGCAAGAGAGCGAGGGGTTCGATTCGGCCCCCTGTCTGTCGGCGGGGGATTGGCCCACCGAGATCGATTGGCGGATACGTCGGTATTCGCTGGGGACGGCTACGCTCGAATTACCTCTCGTTGAACGTCGCGTATCTTCTGCCTCTCATCGGGTTCTTCGAAAAATTATCTTCCGGTTTCCTTCACAGAAATCACCGATCAAACATGTTCTCAACTATCTTTTTTCTCAAATGTTTTACCCTTCAGTCAGTTCAGGAAAATATACACAAAAATTCATTCTTTAATGTATTCTATTATTATTGTATTCTATTATTTTGTATTATTTGAAATTAAATCTGTATTTGTTTTCTTTATTTTTAAATGTTCATTCTACAGTGAATTTATGATTGATTATATGCATGGTTCGAACAATCTCAATCGAGTGTATCTGAAATTTTATACACAAATTTCGTTCAAGATTAATCCTTCCAACTCAAAATGTAAAAAGGCTGATGTCTTTTTCCGAAACGATCAATTGAAATATAACTTAAGCCGCTATAACTGTTAAGGTTATTAAATCACGTTAACTTTCCGAAAAGTTAACAGCAACGAAAAATCATTGATGTTTCAGGTAAAAGTGTGGTTCCAAAACCGCAGAACGAAACACAAGCGGATGCAGCAAGAGGAAGAGGCGAAGGCTCAACAACAATCGGGTGGTGGAGGTAACGGCGGCAGCGGGGGTGGCAACGGCAATTCCAACAACAATAGCAACAACAAAAACACTCATCACGTCAGCAAATGGCAGCAGGAGACCGGCGACTATCATCACGAGGAGGATGAGGAAGAGGAGCACATCGACCCGGAAGCTGAAGAATGCTCGAGCAGTTCCGAAGCGTAGCTAGACGTTCTCTGTCTGGATTAAGATCCAGGATCCAGCAGAGTATCCTGAGTGGACTCGAATAGAGTCCGAACAAGGTAGGAGCTAGCCAACTTGGATCTCCTCAATCGAGTTCCGGCTGTGTATCGAGGAATCGGGCTTCACTTCCAACAGGGCTATTGGTGTTGCGATACGACTCTGTTAACGTTCGGGGCAAGAGGTTAACAGTAGTGAATGAATTCCCACGAGTGGTTCCGTTGAGATCGTTGTGCGATCTCGCTTGGGTCACGGCCGAGACTTACGAGTATGATCTCAAAAAGCGAAAATCGGCAGTGGAAGGTCTCGGAGATCGTTTAAAAACAACGATATTCATCATACTTTGACTGGAGGCTGACACGAATTTAAGAATGATCGACGAGAGTTCTCAAGAGCCTTTTTATCAGCAAAAGCGTCGACTTCTGTTTCGAACTTGCCAAATTAATCGACGAGCTAAATACATAGCAGTATTAGTCTCATTATTGATTTTCTTAAACGTACATTTTGATATGTAAAAAAATTTATCAATTCATTTGGAAAACAATGTCACTCTCATTCTTTTTTACAATCGTCATTATTGAACACTAATTTTACACATTTAATATGAAAAAGGAAGATCGATAATGGGAACTTAATATTGCATGTTTACCGTCGATGGGCAATGCTAGGAAACAAGCATGTTTTCTTCTTCTTTTCCTTCGTCTCTCAAAGTCTCAGCATATAATTTCTTAGCATCTTCATTCCGCGTCGTTGTCGAAGGGAACAGTCATGAACGATCCGTAAATATCCTCGAGAGGATAAGGCGTTCTCCGGCTAGACTACCTTACAACGAGTCCGGAAAAAAGCCTGTGGAGAAATCGAAGGCGTCCATCGGAAACCAGCTAATGGAGGTATTGTCTGCGAGAGACGAAACTAAATGGACGCGTTTCCGGCGGAAAGCGACGGATGGTGGATGTATCGGGAATAATCGAGACGATTCGGCGATCATTTTTTGGCTGTCTGCTCTGCAGATTTTTGTTTCAGTTTTAGCGATAAAATTAAACGGTGAAACCATTCAATGTTATCCTTTTCTTTTACGGATTTTACAATTTGTTAGAAAGTTGCTCGTGATTCATCCAGATTCGTCGATCGCCACCGATGCGCTTCGTTTATCACCCTTATCTTGCCATAAAAAATTCGCCATAAACTCACTTTCAGACGGTGTAAATAAAGTATAGGAGAATGGAGTCTTTTAGTGGAAGCATCCTGGCGTTTCTCGTTATTTTTTTTTTTTACAGACGCGAGTGTAAATAGATAAATGATAAGAAGGCATACGAGATGCAGCGGATGCATACGTGCATGCGCAAAAACGTAAGTAAAACAAAACTTTAAAGTGAGTGCCAAACTTCGTACCCTTAGCGAAAGATCCCAGTGTAAACGAAATGTATTTGCAATTGTATTTAAGTCGTTGTTCTATACGAGCGAGCAGTATTCCTTTCGTCGATCGATGTTTCGAAATATGTACTGACGATTTAAATTATTATTGCTAATGTGTGTTAGACCCGGAATCTTGTGCGCCATAATGGAGCTGTCGCATTTGTAAATAGAAATTTTAATCTCGAAATCATAATATTAATATATTGACGGTATATTCTTTCTCGCGATAATTTAATATTATCTTTATACATCCGTAAATATTAATAATCGACAGAATTCTCATATATATTTTAATATTATATTTTAATATTAAAATATATATATTAATATTATCAAGCAATATTTTAATATTATCAAGCAGCGAGTGGCATTTGGCGAGTATTAGATTTATTTATTTAACTCGATCAGATAATTCGCGCTTATCGATTTCATAGAAAATTTATTTAAATGTTATGCGTCTGTAGGAAAATAAGTTTCACACGTATGGGAAACGTATTTTCCTATTCCGCTTAAGAAATTCGCTCGATTATGGCGCAAAGATTTCGCTTGTAAATAATCCTGTAAATAGCAAATTGTGATTTTGACGTGCAGAGCCATAGAATTGTACGATCTGATTCAGTTCGTGTTCTCTAGCGATATAGCGAAATAAATTATATCTACAAGAACCGTTCCGCTTTTCTCTCGCCCGTTCCAGTAACCTGCGAATTCCTAAAGAGTTCTTTAACATATATATAAAACATATATATATATATATGTAACTGTCATTATAAAAATTGAGAGACATTACAAGACCGGAGATATTCGAATATGACATTTCTTCCTCTAACGTAGAGAGACGAAAGAAAAAAATGCACGCAAGATGCGCAGGTTTTTTCTCAACGTACGATTATATCTTATTATCCTAATAATCCTGACATTTAAGAAGACATCGAGGGATGGTAAATTCGATATTGCAAACTCGAGAATTAGTAATTTCGTAATTTAAATATACTCGTACACGGACTCGGCAGAAATTGTTTGTTTTCTGCGCGCGGTAATTTCTCGCGCAGCGTATTATTTTAGAAAGGCAGTACCCCGTGTACGAAAAATTGAATAATTTCCGCCGTCGGGCACGGGCTCGCGTCGTGGTAATACTTAAGCACACGACATTATCGCGCTGACCGGCCGTAATTACCGGGGTGCGCGCAAAGGGGGTGTCTTCGCACCGTAAATTGTTTTTCGCGAAGGCAACATCGCGGGATCCCGACGGTGCAGAAAATCGCCGGAGCACGACTTATAGGTATATATGCGGCCTGCCGCGTCTGCGGGAGCGATCCTTGTCGATAATCGCTTTATAATCGCCGCTTCCAAAAGGAATAATTTACTACGTGGAACTCTCTTTCTCTCCTTCTCTCTCCCCCGTAATTAAACGCGCCGGATCTCCCCCTTTGTGCCCGGAACAACGGATGTACGAACGCAGTCGGCAGATCGTATTCGGAGATTCGCTATCATCCGTCTGTATTATTTTCGTCTACGAACGCACACATGATCCCTGAAAAATTTCACGCAGTAGGAATGAAATATTTTCATAATTTGAGAAATATATTTTTTCTTGAGCGTTGTGAATTAAAGATAATTGACAATCCAGATTTTAAAGATTGCTCTTTTTTTCCCTAATGCATGGAGAATGGAATATGCATTTGCATCCCATGAGGTCGACATGTATTGAACGTAGAATTAATAATTTACTCAGTGAGAATTAATAGCACGGTGATAACGTAACTTGTAGCCGATTATCGATATTAATCAATTTATGCTAATAAATTTGTACATTGAAAATATTTGCTGTTAGTAGTTTATGTGTGCAAATGTGTAGAATGGTATAAGATTTTACGTAAAAAAGAGAGAAAGAGAAGGGCAACCATAAAATAAATCATACAAAGATAATTATAGATATATTGTACATGGATCTTGAATATAAACTTTTAAACATTTATTTTTTATCATTTGATTAATGAACAGATGAAATTAAGCTTTAATTTTCGTAACAAAAAAATGTCAAAGACATATCGTTTGCAAAGAATCCTGCTGCATAAATTTTCTTTTCAGTACATATTATATTTAACAAATATCTCTATGTCGTAAATAAATAAGCGCTACACATATGGGTTTCTTTCAAACTGATTAATTTTATTTTCTTATAAATTTCTTAATTGTACTGATATTAATCATATATGGTATTAAAATTAAGAAATTTATAAAAAGCAAAGTTAATCAATTTAGCTTGTGAGAAGCTTTATGAAAAGTTTTTTATACTATTTTTCGATATTAAATATTCAATAAAATTTTAACGTCATGCTAATTTATTCCCGATATATTCATTTCAACTTTTTCAAGATCGACTATTAATTGTTAATTGTTTCACTGGACATTCGACGCGGACTCATTTGTCGAGCCGGAAGAGAAGCTTGACGATCAGCAGAATTACTCGACGTTCGTACCTCGAACGCGCGCGTTTATCAATCGATCAATTAAGCGATTAAATTAATCAGCATGCGCGGCAATCAGCGTTGAGACAAGATACGAGAGATTGGACGCGAGGCGCTAATGAAGCGCATTAATTGGAATGTTAACTAGGACCCGTTAATTAAACGTCTCGTCGGCAGCCACATGATCGTCGTCAAAGCGGTCGATCAATCGACAATCGATAATTAATAAATCTTATTAGTCATTAATGCCCGCGATCCGCTTCTTCTTATCCCTGCACCGTTTTCCCCGGATGATCCAGTTTCATTATCACGACTGCACCGTTCGCGATAGTTTAATTAGCAGGAAACATCGCGTATCGCTTACACGTATTTTACACTCGAGGCCTGATTTTTCGACGTACTCTTTATTAAACGGAGCAAATTTATGGCGCGAATATCGATCGCGACCGCATAAATGTCGCTCTCGCGATATTACACGCGTCTTAAAGTGTCCGATAGAAGGAGATTTTCGCGAGAAGTCGTTCTATGATAAGGGAAGGCGTACGCGATATCCACTTGATGAAACTCGATCGGATGCCGCGGACGATTGCGTTAGATGAATAATAAAGTTGATAATATTCCGTTAATATTTCCGCCGTCTCGAGACGATCTCTTAATTGCGAATGTCGTTGCGATAATTGTAGCGTGGTTAAAAATTATCGGGCGGTGCTATCGCGCGCGTATGTAGGCCTTATCGTATTTCGCGTGCCGGTAAATGAGTTAAAATAATACGTTTCATTAAGTCCCGCGGGATTAGTTTCACTGTTACGAGCATACCGGCAGATAAGCGGCCGGATTACACGCGCGGGGCGCAATAAGTGCATTATAAAGGAGGATATACGCCGCATTCTTGCGGAGAGTTGAGTCGCTCGCATGCACAAGTTGTTGTTTACCGCCGAGTCACGCGTCAATTTAAAGCCCGTGAATTTTCCGCGCGAAAGCCCTCGCGCGAATGCAGATGTCACGCGTGCAATATCAAGTTACCGTAATCCACGGCCGATCATTGACAAGAGGGAACAATTAAATCTTTCTGCGAAAAAATAGATTCTTCCCTTGTTCAACTATCTTCTTCATCGGATTGAATTCGATTAAAAAATATAATTAAATTTATAAATAAGATATTTATAGATTTATAAATATAATATATTAAATATGTTAAATTTGATTTGTAATATAAAAGAGAAGGTGCTGTATTTAAAAAAATGTTCAGGGATATTTGTTAACATAAAAATAATAGTTCTGGATTAATTGCTAATATTTTGAGGTTTCAAACTGAAATAAATATACTCGAATTTTTATTTTATACCAAAGAGTGAAAGTATCATAAAATAAATATCATAAAATAAAAGTAAATTTGCGTTTAATACTAATAAAAATAAATTGTTCCTTTCTTCTTACGTTAAGTAAGATCCTAGACATGAAATCCTTTCATGAAAAAATCGAATAATTTGTATTATAACGCTGAAATATACTTTTTGAAAAATATGATTCCGTATTTTCTGTAGAAATAAAAAATAAAAATATTAATATATAAATAAATAAAATTATCTAAACATAATTTTTGTATACACAAGTTTTGCAAAATTATTTTTCTCACAATATTGCATTCCGTTTTCTTCATTAATAAAAAAATTCGTCATAGTTATCAGCATTATTGACAATTCTCGGTTTGCTAAATTATAAAAATATAAAGATCTCCCGCATATTGAATTATCTCTAATACTCATTTTACAATTAATTTTATATAATGGATTATATGTTATGAACGAATATAATTGAACGAATATAATAGAATATAATAAATAGAATATTAATTTTATAAAATAAATGGATAAATTTTGAAAACTTGGTTTCCGCGGTGGAAAGCCGGAACGATTAAAGCGCATTTACGCAGTCGCGATTGATCCCTCGTTTGTTTCTCTGATAGGTTAACGCCTACGCCAATGTGCGAGGGGTAAAACACAGAAATGTGTCGGTTTACTCGGGTGAAGAGCGCACCACGTAAGGCCCGCGGCTAGGTGAGGAAGAAAGTGGAATCGAGGGAGGGAGGAGAGAGGAGCAGACGGCAGCGGAGGAGGCGAAGGTGGCGGGAACAGGGGGGAGGAGAGAAGGGACGGGGATCGGAAGGGGTGGTGGGGGAACGGAGATCCGAGGGTTCAGAACTGCTAATTATGTAAATTGCCGGTGTTGCAAATTACCCTCACAGTTTGCGTTCATTCTGCACACAATCCACACGGTCTCCGCACACCTCGCACGGAATCCATCCACTTGGATACTGTTACTTCCTCCGGCGAGGAGGAGGGTTCGGGGTAGGGTGGGAGGGAGGGAGGAAAGGGGAGAGAAGGTAAGGGCGAGCGGGAAAGATGGAA